TGGAAGAAGCCAGACCACATATTGTATATTTCCATTTATGCAAAATATTTACAATAGGCAAATCCATAGAGACAGAAAGTAGATTAGTGGTTGCTTAGGGCTGGGGGGAAAGGAGGAATTAGAGTGTGATGGTTAAGGGGGGTGGGATTTCTTTTTAGGGTAATGAAAATGTCCTAAAATTGATTATGGAGGTAGATACACGACTCTGAATATACTGAAAGCCGTGGAATTGTACGCTTAAAGTGAGTTTTATAATATGTGAATTATATCTCAAAATTGCTGTAAAAAGAAAAAAAATCCCACCAGTAGGGCTGTTTGAGGATTAACTGAACTAAGAATACAAAGTACCTAGCATAGTGTCCGGTATCGGGCAGATATTCAATAGATGCTGACTTTTATTCTGTTGCTAATCCTTAACAGGCTGGTTTACACAAAAGCTTACAGTTACGTCTGCTGTCCATGTAAGAATGACGTGATCTTTGGTAATCAGTGCTGTCCCTCGGGCAGGTGGTCCTTCCTTACCCTCGGTCCCCACCCTTTCTTTGCCGGTTGCAATCCTACGTGCATCAGACGTCACCTCTGTGAAGCCTCCTTGTTGGCCAGCTGAAAATCCTGGGGCATTCTCTGTAGTGTCCCCAACAGCGGGTATTCAGAGGCAAGCTCTTGTCACCATCTGGCTTGTCTACAAATTCTTTGTGCACGCACCATGTGTCCTGCCCTCTGTGTCCCGCATGGCGGCACCCGGCACAGAGGGAGCGATTCTGGAGTGCAAGTGCTCACAACACACACAGCACCTGTGTTGGGAGGGACTCTAAGATGGCCTTCATGACCGTTGCCCTCTGGTATTAATCCTGTCATTATGGGATGTTATAGGACAAGAGGAATTTCGTAGATGTGATTAAAGTTAACTAATCAGCAGACCTTAAGCTACGGAGACGGGTGGGCCTAACCTAATCACAGGAGCCCTTTCAAAGCGGAGAGTTTTCTTTGGCTAGTAGCAGAAAAGACAGTCAGAGAGGTTCAGAGTGTGAGGGACCAGAGCGACCCACCATTGCACAGCCCACACAGGCCACAACGTATATTCCTGGTGGGCTTGGTGCTGTGGGTGGGGACACGGTGCGAGATGTCCAGACCTGCCCTCAAGATGCTGCCAATGAAAAAGCAAGATATGGAAGCAAGTAATCAGCGTGCACTAACTATGGAAAGATGTTCATGATACATTGCGTTAAATAAAAATGGTATGCAATGCATGATCAGAGTTTTGTAAAATATACATGTTTGGAAAGAGTTGTTCAGAATGTTACAGTGAGAGGTTGTCTCTGGGAGGTGGTGAGTCTTATGTCCCTGGAAAAGGACACTGGACCCCTGTCCTGGAGGCAGGAAGTAGGGGCGAGAGAGGATGCTCTTCTAAGGATCATGGGTTCTCTCATATCTGCTCTTCTACTTACAGATCATAAATAATAATAGCTAATATTATTAAGCACTTACTATGAGCCAAGCACTGTTGCTAAGCACATTATATAATGTAACAACTCATTTAATCCTCACGGCAACCTGCCAGGCCTGATTTCAGCGCTTATTTCTTATTGTTTCTCCAAGTGGAGCTGCATTTAGGGATATGTTTTTCCTCCTTCCTAGGGTTGGAGCCTACCCTTTATCTGTGAAGGAAGATACTCTGATTTCTTTTCACTTGTTGATATTTTCTAATTTTTCTGCAATGTCCAGCCATTCCTTTTCATTGGAAAAAAAAGAAGGCAGGTGCATGGTTTTATTTTTGCCAGCATGCTCAGGGCTGTGACGGATGACTGATCAAGTTCTGCGGATGCCTGGAAGGGAACCAGGTCATTCTGCTTTGGCGCACAGAGGAGAAGGCACCCAGGGAAGGTGAGCTGTGACCTGAGTTTGAAGGGAAGCACGTGAACTCACCAGGTAAAGAAAGGACCTCTGTGGCCAAGGGGTGGCATTGTACCTGAAGGCAGTGACCAGTGAGTTCAGGAGTGCCACTGTGGGGAGTGCAGGAAGTAAGGCTGAGGTGGCTAGAGACCTGGTCACAGGGGCGTGGATGCTTAGGAGCTGGGGCCAGTATTCTAAGGGCAATGGGGAGCCACTGAAAGGTTTAGGCAGGTAGGGACTGAGTGGGATGCTGGTTTGGAAGCTCAAGCTGGTGCCTCATGAAGGGGTGGGGGTGGCAGCTTTGGGGCAGAGAGGCCGGTGAGAGGCAGATGGGACAGTGGAGAAGTGCATAAAGGTGTGGAAGATTCAGACCAATGCGGATTTCAGCACCTCCTCTCCCTGCTCCCCCTTATTAGCTGCGAAACCTGGGCTAGGCACTTCTCTGTGAGCCTCCGTGACTTAGCTGAGGGGACAACTGAAATGGGAAAAGTGCCTGGCTGGTGACACGTCATAAGTGGGTGTGAGTGGTGGCCCTACCCTCTTGAAGCAGAAGTGGTGACCAGTTCTCCCCTCTGAGTCATCCAGCTTGTGCCAGGGAAAGTCTGAGGCTGCTCGTTCAGAGAGGGTCACCAGCATGCATGGCAGCATGGCAGGCCTGACGGCTGGGACCAGTCCCTGACGGGTGGAGAAGGGGAAGACAGAGCTAGGAGAACTGGGCCAGATCCCTGGCCTCCGGTCAGCACCCAGGCTCACCCCCTCTGGTCCCAGCTTTGCTGTGTCTGGCTGGGTCCTGAGCCAAGTGACACCCAGTCCCTGCCCTCAGGGAGGTCCCCACAAATCAAGGGCGACTCAGGAATAGAGCCCATGTGTAATGTGAGAGCAGACCCCGGCCAGCTCCTCAGGGCCAAGGTCTTAGTAAGCCCCAATAGCTACCGCGGGAAGGAGGTGCCATTCTCTCCATGTTCTGCATAAGGAAACTGCACCTTGAAGAGAAGGATGTGGCCAGAACCTTCTGGCCTGGGAGTGGCTGAGGCAGGACAGAATTCGTGACTTGTCCTACTCCAGGGCCTGAGTTTCCAGCCTGGACAGAGGACTCGGGTTTAAACAGGGCCTGAGGGGTATGCTAGTGACATTGCCCTGCCCAGGCCTGGGCCCCAACCTCACCAATCTGTGACTCACCTCTGATAGTACAGGTGGGGTGTGGGGAGGAGGGTCCCTTTTGGCCAATGAGGAGCCCATGCCACCCATGGCTGCTGTCCCCCAGAACTGAGTGGAGCTGGAATCCTTGTGGCCTCTAGCTTCTCATTCATCTCCCCCCCAAGCCCACAGGGCACTAAGAGGGCTGCTGGTGGCCAGGTGCGATGGCTCACACCTGTAATCCCAGCACTTTGGGAGGCTGAGGTGGGAGGATTGCTTGAGGTCAGGAGTTTAAGACCAGCTTGGGCAACATAGTGAGACCCTGTCTCTAAAACAGATAAAAAGATTAGTTGGATGCAATGGTATGTGCCTGTAGTCCAGGCTACTTGGGAGGCTGAGGCAGGAGGTTCACTTAAACCCAGGAGTTTGGGGCTGCAGTGAGCTATGATCATGCCACTGCACTCCAGCTTGGGTGAAAAAGTAAGCCTTGTCTCAACGAGAGAGAGAGAGAGAGAGAGAGAGAGAGAGAGAGAGAGAGAGAGAGAGAGAGTGTGCTGGTGGCCTTTGGTTCCCAGGCAGATTGTCCCATGTCAGAGTGAGCACAGCAGAGTCAAAGCAGGTCTGCCGGGTCCTTGTTGCAGCCCAGCCACTGCTGAGCTCTGTAGCCTTGCCTAAGCCTGTGCTCCACTCTGAGCCTAGCTTCCTGCTGTAAAATGGGGGCATTTACACACGTCACACACAGAATGATGGAAAGAGACAATGTGTAGAAGGACTTCTGCTGCTGGAGGAGTCAGTGCTCAGAGAGCTCTGACGCTCTTGGGTGGACTACTGCCTCAGGGACAAAGAGCTTGGGGATCGGGAACCTGGGCCCTGCTACTGACCTGCTCTGTGACTCTGAGACAGTGTCTTCCCTCTCTGAACTTCAGATCCCCCACTGGACAGGCTGCTCTGACCCTCTGCGTGCCTGGGCTGGGAAGGGAGTCAGTCATCCCAGCTCACTGGGGAATCCTTGGCCCCAGTGCCCCAGCTTGCTGGTGCGGCAGGAAGAGGCAAACCCAAAACCCAGACCCCAGCTGGCCCGGGATCCTGTCCCCTTAGATCCACATAAGTTTGCCAAGATCTACGCAGCCTGTGACTTTGTCCTGCCTTTGCACACGCTGCTCCTTCTGTCCCAACGCTGTTGTCCATTCTCACTCTTCTAAGATAACTCAGATGTGCTGCCATAGAAGAATTCTTAAACACACACACACCCAACCCTTCCTCCGGGCTCCCAGATCACCAGTCCACAAAAACTGCCTTTGGCGGCCACTTAACCTGCATGCTGAATTTATGAGATCCTCCCAGACCTGTGAGTTAGGAGGAAGGCTCAGAGGAGCTAGGTCCCATCGCCACCCTCTCCAGGCCTCTCACAGGCTGGGGCAGTGACCTCGGTAGGGAAAGGACTTAAAAGCTGGTCATTATTGCTGAGAATGCCTTCCTCTCCAGGAGAGGGGGACCTGGAGGGCCAGGAGGGCTGGCTCTGTCACTGACAGCTCTGAACACCTCCTTTAGGTGTGAGCACTATGCGACAAATACGTAGGCAAGTGACTGTCCCCTCTCTGGGCCTCAGTTTCTTTCTCTGTAAAATGGGGTGAGGAGGCCTAGGCCCAGGACCCCTAGAGCCATCTCCAGCAGAGTGCTGATGGCTGTCAGGGTTGTTTCCATTCTGAAGCCAGCACCAGAGTGTTCGGGGGATGGGACAGCCTCAATGACCAACGGTTCCAGTTCCAGGGCAGCTGGGTGAGGAGCAGGCCCGCTGCTGCCCCCCCCTGTACCCCACTGCTCCCCGAAGCCCAAATCCCCCGCCAGCCTAGTTGCGCTGTCTCTTTAAGGCCAGGCAGGGCGGGCTGGGTTACCTGCACGGCACCTGGAGGCGCCCCACCCTGAGCCAGCCGGGCCACCCCACTAGGGCGTCTCCAGTCTCCGTGGACCTGGCACCTGGCAGCGGCCGGTGAGGACGCAGACCCAGGAGAGGTGGGGCGGGCCGCGCCCCGGAGCCCGGGCCTGAGCCCTGGGGACTGGCCACATTCGGGAGACGGGTCCGGGTGGTCACTGTGGGAGTCGAGGGCGAAGCCGGCTCTGCGCGTCCGGCCTGAGCCGCGGGGAGAAGCCGGCTCGGCGACACTGGCGCCGGGTGGGGCGGCGGGAGCGGATGGACCGACGGACGCGGCGGGCGGGCTAGAGCCTGGACCCGACCCGGACCAACCTCACGGTGCTCCTGCGGGCTCAGGGAGAGGGGCTGGGGGCGGCCGCCAGGGCCTTCCCCTAACGCCGGCGCCCTGCAGACCCGAGGCTGGGCAGGTTCGCTCAGCCCTCTCACCCCTCACCCCGCGGCCACCACGCCTTTATCCCTGCTGCTCCCGCGCCTGGACCCCGCCTGCCCGCCTGCCCGCGATGGCTGCGCAGGAGTGGGTGGAAACGTCCTCCCCTCCCCTCCCCTTGTGGGAGCGCTCAGCTCCTTCTGACGCCAGCCCCTCCTGAACCCCTTCCCTTGACGCTGACCGCGGGGCTTGGTGGGCACAGTGTGGACACGCAGCTCCACTGGCCTTTTGCTTTGCAGGGTTTCCTTGGGCATGGCATTTGGTGCCTCAGTTTTCCCGGCGGTTAAATGGGGATGCTTTGGGCCACTTCTTGTTCAGATGGATTAGTCTTTACAGAAAGGGGCACCTAAAGTGCCCTCACTGGTAGCATGAAGTAGGGCACTGGCACAGCGCTCCCGTCCACGCTCTCCCGAGAACTGGGTGCGGAAGGGCACTGTCCCCCCTCCCCCTCTCCTAACGGGAGCATGTCCTAAGTGATACTGTGGGAATAAAAATCATCATACTAGACTAAATGGTTTTCACATATTTTAATTCCTACGAGCAATATGGTGTTATTGTGCCCATTTTACAGAGGAGAGCACTAAGGCATGGAGAGGCCAGTATCTAGCCCATGTCAGAGCCAGGGTCTATCCTCTGTCTTGCCCTGTGTCACTGTGTCACTTTGTCACAGTTTAACTTCTCACCATCTCATCTTCATAACCTGCTTCCCCCGGGAGGCAGGGGTTTGAGATCAGAGATGTTGAGCAGCCTGCCCAAGGTCACAGAGCTAACAGAAGGAATGACCGCAGTCAGAGGGAGTGACAGGTGGAGCAATTTGCTCAGGGGAGCAGATTGGCAGCAGCAGACATGCTTCTGGGAGGGCTGGTTGAGGGCCCAGGGTGGGTGGGGGGAGCAGAGGGCTCCCAGGTGCAGGGAGTACAGGGCTAGGACAAGCTCTCAGGTGACAGGAGTTTGGGTGAGGGTGGGGAGGGATCTGGGGGAGGTGGGCCAGCCTGGCAGGCCCCGACTGAGTGCCAGGTTGGGAGTGGGACTTCTTGAGATTGGGGGAGTCTCTCGGGCTGGGGTTGATGCCCTCCAGGGTGGGAGTCCTTCCTCCTTCCCCCATCAGGGTGCAGGGTGTGGAGGTGCACAAGGGTGAGGGGCCAGCAAACGGCTTAAAGACTATCTTTCTGCCACGAGTCAGGGAAGTCTTGGGGTAGGACGCCCTGCTGATTATAGAGCCCTGATCTATAGCAATAAAGGGAACAACCACTGTGCTACAGAACAGGCTGTCCTTCATCCGCTTCCACCTCCCAACCCCCCCAGATGGCAGGTTAGCATGTACCCCCCCTGCCATGGGGGTGTCCACATGGAGAGAGGGCTGCTCACACAGGAAGAGTGACCACGGCACGTGTGCGAACATGCCAAGGGCAATGGCAGGGGCTTGTCTGAGGCCCAGGAGGAGTTGAGCCAGGATGGAGAGCAGTGCATTCTGGAGAGCAAGGAGCTGCCCGTGCCTAAGGCTTACGAGTACTTATGTTCACAGCGTGGCCTCGGCTTTAGATATTAAAACATATCAATAGAATCAGCTGTGCACACACAGAGAGACTTGACTCAGACTAGACCTGGGTCCAAATGCAGACCCAACCTAGGACAAGTCGTCACCCTAGGGGCCTCAGTGTCCTTGGGACATAATAGTGTCGAAAGGATTAAGTGAAGGGATGCCCGTAAAATGCCTGGCGTGGTGCCCAGCCAGGTAAGTCCCCGACACACATCTGCTGCCACCATCGTGGTGTTTGCAGGCCAAGGGAGAAATGGACAGGAAGCACCTACACGGGGTCATGCTCCTCTCTGAGAGGCGAGATTCCTGATGATTTGTATTTTGCATTTTTATTCTGTTCTGTGACTTTCTCTTGTTTCCCCCCACAATGAGCAACTACTGTTTGGATAGACAGTAAAAAGCATCTTAGGTCACCTCATACAGGTGGTCCAGGGATGCGTTCCTCCAGTGTTGAGAACCCTGCTGTGTCTGGCTTTGGGCAAGGTCATTCGCCTTTCTGGGCTTGGACTCCTCATTTGTAAATGGGAATTTTCCCTGCCCCGCCCACCCACTCACCTGCCAGGAGGCAGATGAGATGCTGGGTGTGAAGGGGAGCTGTCGTACCGTAAACACAGGCAAGGGCTTACTGTTCTGCATTTCCCTGTGGGGTCCCCCCAAAGCAGATTTCTCCTCTTGACACCCTCTCCTAACTGGGGAGAATGGGTGGGCAGGTTCTTTTTCTCCCTCCACAAAAAAGCCTTGAGCTGGAGGCAGTAGGCACTTGCCCCCAAGACTGATTCACAGGAAGAGAACTGCAGGGAAGTTACAAATGGCATTTCTCCATATGTGTCCAGTAGTTTGGGGGGTTGGAAATATTGGGGTCCATGCCCAGAGTGCCCCTTTTACATGCATACATTCTCTCTTTTGCTTTCTTGCACACACAGCCCTTTTGAAATCTGAAGTTTTATCTACCATATCTTGAACATTGCTGTCCCCTTCAGCTGAAGCAAATATGCCTTTGAGCGGCTGCACGGCAGGGTGTCATTGGGATGCACCACTTTGGCTGGGCAAGCCCCATGTGGAAGGATTTCCGATCACTGACATCTCCCTTAAGGTCTGTGGCTCCCTGAGCCCCTGCTTCGCTTCACTGGCTCAGCCTTTGGAAGAGAAGACAGTCCCTCCTTGAATCCTCCCAGCAGCCCGCTAGACAGCCTGCCCCTTACAGAGGAGGAAACAGGCCCAGAGCGGTTGAGAGGCTTTCCCCAGGACACAGCTGCAGAGTGGGGACCAAAGCCAGGGCTGTGCTCCACGGCTTGTGCCGTAGCAGCTGGAATCTTGCGCCCCGTCTCACTCCCAGCTCTTCACAGCTGGGAGGGAGGATTTTCACCCAACCAGCATGGATTTATCCAGCAACTCTTTCCCTTATTTCAGAGGATTTATTCAACAAATGTTTACTGAGCAGCTGTCATGTGCTAGGCACGAACAGGGCCAACCCGGACCCTGCCCTCAGGGAGCGCACAGTCTGAGAGTGGGGACAACAAATTAAACACAGAGAGGTAAGTGCTGTGGCCCAAGAAGGCCCAGGAGACCTGGGCATTTAAAGTGTCATCAGAGAAGGCTTCTCAGTGAGGGCTGGGCTGAGCCTGGAGGGGAGATAATGGGAAGTTACCAGGCAGAGGGGACAGAGGGCACAATAAATAGCCTCGAGGTTGGCTTTGGGGACACTCTGGACCTAGGTTTCAGCCTCTTACTGTCCCTGTGGTCTGGGGTGAGGCTTCTTTCCAGGTGTTTTTTCTCCTTCCTTGCATTGATTTCTTAGCCTGACTGGGATAATATTGCATGTATAATTTGGTATATTGAGTTGGAAAAAAGTAAGATATCATAAGTGTTTCCCTCTGTTGTTAAACCTTCATGCTAGCTTGATATTTTTTTTAATGGGTTAATATCAGTTATTTAATCTAGAGGTTATGCCGTAGTTTATTCACCATTTCTGTATAGTTGGACACTGAAGCACTTTCCAAATTATGACCATTGTAAACAAGGCCATGGTGAGCATCTTTTTGCACAAAGTTGTGGTCCCTGTCATAAATTTCAGCTTGAGGCTCTTCAGTGCCCTCTTTCACACTTGTCCTGGGTCTCAGTGTCTTCCACTGTGCCGTGGAGACGGCGCTGATCTCAGGGCATGTGGCAGGCCTAACCCGCACGCATAACCCGTGTGTGACGGCAGTGCCACCCAGCAGGCCCCGTCCGGGCAGGCCTGCCGGACCCCGCACAGGGTCACTGTCCTCCCTGCGGCCCCTGAGGCCTGGAGAGGGGCCTGGAGTGAACATAGCCGCACCCACTGAGCGCCGACTGTGTCCCAGGCACGGTGCTGATACTCTGCGTGGCTGTGACCTTCAGCACAGCCCTGCGACGCCAGGGGCAGCGACGCCAGGGGCAGCAACGCCAGGGGCAGCGACGCCAGGGGCAGCGACGCCAGGGGCAGCGCCTCCACCTCCCAGATGAGGAGTCAAACGGCCTCTGGAAGGTTGCACGGTGACCTCAGGCAGGGGAGGACTAACACCCAGGGCTCCAGTATCGTTCATTTCCTCCTCTCTCTCCGTCTCCACGTCCAGATGTGTCACAGGCGCTGCGTGGCCCCCGCCCTCCGCTATTGCGTGACGGTCAGCGGCACCGTGGTTCTGGTGGCCGGGACACTCTGCTTCGCTTGGTGGAGCGGAGGGAATGCGGGTGCCCAGACTGGCCTGCCGGCCCCGCCCACTGAGCATCCCAGCGCTGAGGCCCCCAGACCCCTGCTCAGGTCCGTCAGCCTCTTCTGCTGCGCCACAGGTGGCCTGCTGCTGCTCTTCGGCCTGCTGTGGTCCATCAGGGCCAGCGTCCGGGGGCCGCCCCAGTGGGACCCCTACCATTTCTCCAGGGACCTGTACTATCTCCGCGTGGAGTCCTCGCAGAAGGAGAGCTGCAGGTTAGCGTGGCCGGGTGGGGCGGTGGGTGGGGACCACGGCTGGGGGCCCAGTCACAGCATCCAGCATTTGCTCAGCAAACTGTCGTGGGGTTCCAGCTCTGGACAGGCCTTGCCCTGGGGATGTGGAAGCTGACCAGTGAGTGCTGTCCTCTAGAGGTTTAAAACCCCAGGACAGAGGCAGATGATGACAAACCAGAGTAGCTGGAGGTGGGAGAGAGACAGACGTGGTCTGTGGAGATAGAGACAGACGTGGTCTGTGGAGATGTGGAGACACACAGGAAGGCTTCCTGGAGGAGGTGGCAGCTATGCTCAGCATGGTATGGGGCAGAGTAGCAGAGGGGTTAAGAGCCTAGGCACAGGAGTCAGACCCACTGGGGTTCTGTCCTGGTTCTATCACAGACTGGCGGTGAGACTTCAAGTAGGTCATGCAACCCTACTAAGCCTCAGCTTCCTCATGTGAAATAAAATGGGAATGATAAGGACAGCAATGATAGCAAACACCTGTCTGGTACTTGCCACGTGCCAGGCACCGTTCTAAATGCTTCATATATTGACTCACTCAATCCTTACAGCAGCCCTCTGAAGTGAGTGCTGTTATTAACTCTGTTTATAGAAGAGGAAATGGAGGCATGGGGACATTAAGTAACTTGCCCAAGGACATCAGCTAGTACGTGTCACTCTGGGACTGGAACCCATGCTGTCACCCATTTTCCACCCGTTTTCCTGGGAAATTTAAATGGATGATGTGTATGTAGCGTCTAGCCCAGTGCCTAGCACACGGCAGGTGCATAGTAAATGTCAGCTTTTTCAAGTGGACATGGAAAGGGGCATTTCAGGCAGTGGAAGAGCAAATGCAAAGGCATGGGGAGGGGTGGGGTGGGACAGGGCCATGTGTGCATTAAGGCAGCCCTTCTAGGCTGGGCTGGTGGCTCACGCCTGCAACAGCAGCACGTTGGCAGGCTTGCTTGAGGCAAGGAGCTGGAGGCCAGCCTGGGCAACATTGCAAGACCTGTCTCTACAAAAAATTTAAAAATTAGCTAGGCATGATGGCGTGGCCTGTAGTCCTAGCTACTCGGGAGGCTGAGGCAGGAGCTTCACTTGCAAAATCCTCACTCATGGAATTTTAAAACCACAGATATATCGTGTATCTGTTTATGTTTTGTAAGTATATCTGTGCTTTATACATAAAAAAGTATCAACCCTCCCCAAGAACGAGTTTTTACTTTACCTGTGAGCGTGTTGAGGATGCATGCACTATGCACGCCCTTACTATGTGCTCATTTATTCAACAAAGTGTGGAGTGTGCCTGCATGCAGGGGCCTGCACATTACCCTACTGCCTCCAAGGTAAGGACCACTACTGCCTCTGCGGGAGGGGAAGGTGAGGCACACACAGCTGGAAGGTGGCAGGAGCCTGCAAGGTGCAAAGCTTGCATTCGTCCTCCTGTCCACTCGGTACGCACTGTATTCAGGGGTGTCAGGGGCTACTCCAGATGCCCCTGAGCGGGCCTGGGACCCAGATGTTCCCATTGTTAGAGGGAAACTGCATTCCCAGTTAAAGGATGCAAGAGCATTCCCACCACTGGCCTTCGACTGCCTGAGGACGGAGAAGATATGGTATTCAACAGAGGCCACTAGGTCCAATAGTCAAACCTCAGTTGGAATGGACTGTTAGAGGGAGGGCCAGGGCTTCGGGGACTATCCAGCCAAACTCTCACTTCTCAGATGAGAAACCTGGTGACCTGCCAGGTCACACAGTGAGTTAGCGGTCAGTTGGAACTAGGCCTCAGGACGCTCTTGACCAGAGCCTGTTCGTCCCTGCCCAGCCTGGCGCAAGTGCAGGGGGTGGCTGTTGTCTGTACACACAGCCATGTTGGTGCAGCAGGGTCCAGGCCACAGCTGTGCCTGTCAGGTGGCCTTCGTTCCCAGTGGGCCAGGGAGGAAGCCCACCCAGCAGGCGCAGGGTGTCCCTAGCCCATCAGGCTCCGAGACCCAAGTCCTAGATTCAGAAAGCAGGGTGGCTGTGAGTGGAGGAGGCAGCTTCTGCCAGCAGTGCTCCTTCCTGTCCCCAAGGCTGCCCCAGCCCAGCTCTGCGGCCTGCGGGGCCCAGCACCTGGCCCCCCTGGGGAGTCCGCTCTGCTGTTCCTGCTCCCAGGTGCCCCACGCTCTGGGTTACCTGCTGTGGGGGACTTCAGGTGGGGGACACAGGCTGATGGCTGGGGCAAGTCCTTTCCCCTCTTAGCGCCCCAGATCCCCAATTTATTCATTTACTTACTCTTTCATGCATTTTCCTAATAATTAATGAGCACCTACTATGCACTGAGTCCTATTCAGAGTACTGACAAGGCAGCAGAGGACAAAACAGACAGCGCCCTGCCCTCAGGAGCTCCCATCTTACATGGAAGCCCCTACACGAGGAGATTGGATGTGAGGCCTCCGGGAGTCTCTGCTCTTTCTTTCGTAAGCTGTGTGTCGTGGAGTACACCGCTTGCACCCTCTGAGCCATGCCTGATGCCTCCCTTGTCAGCGGGGGTGACACGCCTTTCCCCACGATAGATGGCTATCAGGCTCAGATGAAAGGACAGATAGGGAAGTGTACACACTGTAAAGTCTGTGCACAGGCCAGCTTTCTCTGCTGTTAAGCCTTGCACAGTTTACAGGGCACTCTCGTGCCCGCTAACTGCTTTGAGCCTCAGTTGCTTACGAGGTAAGTGTAAGGAGTAGGCCCATTTTACAGATGAGAAAACTGCAGTGAGGAGAGACGGGTGGCTCAGGGGAGAGGTGTGATGGGTGGAGCGGGCCTGAGCTCAGCAGTCAGACAAGGTTGGGGCTTTGCCACTTAGTTGACACATGACCTTTACTCATCTGTAAAATAGGTGAGAGCCACTGTCCCCCAGAGTTGTCATGAATGTGAAATGAGTTTAGAGACCTTAAGCATTGGGCAAATAGTATTTCACCCCATCTCCCTTCCCCTCTCCCACTGTGTCTGCCTGGCTCAGCTGAAGGGCAGTGGCAGGGGTGGACCTGGGTCTCCAGGCTCTGAGGACTGGGGTGAGGCCCCGGCCCCGGCGGAGCCTCCTGTGCTGGAGCCACAGTGGCAGGGCTGCCCCACAGCTGCAGGGGCGCCCATGCGGAAGACACCATGAGCGGAGCTCGCTCCCCAGAAGCGTGCGGCAGGCTGCCCTGCGTGCCCAGCGCCTGGCATTCTGTACCATGACCCTGGGGACTTGGGGTGGGCTGGGCCCAGCGGGCCACTTAAGGCGACAGTAGGTGGTATGAGGGCTGCTCCATGTCCGCCCTCTAAGCAAACTTCCTGCTGCGGACTGGACTCACCTGGCACTTGTGCCTGCCCTGCCAGCTGTTGCCTGCCAGAGTGGCCCAGGCCTACGCAAAACCTGTCTCATGTCCCCAGGGTTCCAAGAGGCTGGGAGGGCAAGGGCGTAGCCGGGAGGTGAGCAAGCGGGAGATGTGGGGGTCCAGAAGCCTTACTACCATATTTTTCTGAGTGTTGTCAAACATTTTTCCATTTTTCCTTCTGAATCTGTGAAAGGGGAATTATTATTCCCCTTTTACAGATGAGGAAAAAGAGACTCAGAGAAGGTGTGAATGTGGCCCAAGTCACACAGCAATAGAACCCAACTTGCCTGCCTCCAGGGGTGACGGTCTTTGCCCTGCCCTCACCTGGGAGGACGCTGGGTGCTCGAGGAGGGTGAGGCCCTGTCGGCTTGCTCAGCTGTGGGGCTCCCGGGCTGTCTCCAGGGAGGGAAGGAAGGTTTATAAGAGTTCATAAGAGCACTGGACAGGGAGCCCATATCTGGCTCCTGGCTGGTGCCCTGCATCAGACTGGCCTACAGGCTGGGGTTCAAATCCAGGATCCCCATCAACCTGTCCTGTCGCCCTGGCCCGTGAGTGAGAGCAGTGAGCCTGCCTCCCCGGTGGGCCGCTCTGGGGGCTGCAGTGGTCCTGGGCTGAGAAGACACAACACGGTGCCAGAGGAGGGCCCTGTGGGTGTTGGGTGTTCACCTGAGGGGCAACAGCAGGTTCCCAGCCTCTCCCACCCCAGGGCCCTGGAGCCAAGTCCCATCTACTACCTCTCTGTCCCCAGCCAGCCTCCTGCCATTGGCATCCTCCCTGGTCTACACAGCAAGACCACTGGTATGGATTAAACTGCTTCCCAGCAGCTCTAAACCTCCCACCCTGGGCAAGTGACTCAGCCTCTGGGGGCCTGTGTGTGGCCTGCCATACCGGAGACCTGATGAGCTTTGTGTCCCCCGATGAACCTTGTGTCCCCCACCCCTTCCGTACGGGAGACCTTCGGGCTTCTGTTACGGCTCCCACTTGCCTGGCATGCACTTGGTGCCTCCCTGCACCAGCTCATCTCATTCTCACTCTGGCCTGTGAGCTAGTGCCATTATTGTTACCCACTTTATAGATGGGGAAACTGAGGCTCTGACTGGTGCCCCGCATCAGACCAATGATTGCCCACCAAGAGTGTGGCAGAGCAGGGAGTTGAACCAGCCAGTGCCCAGACTCATAAGCAGCCCTGAGTGACTTGGTGTCAGGGGGACCTTCAAGATCACCTAGTCAGCTCCATATCTGGTAGGACCACCACCAAAGCAGTAGCAGCCCCGACCTGGGCTCAGTGACACTCTCACCCAACAGGGTCCCAGGAGGGGCAGGGAAACCGACTCCCTGGAGATGGTCCGCCAGGGCTCTGAGAGGGCTGAGGGCCAGTCTCGTTCCCTTCAGCCTCGGTGGAGCTGGGATGTAGGCGACCCGTCTTGGAATCTGCAGAGCCTGGTCAGTAGATCCTCAGAGGACCTGGTCTCTGCCTCAAGTCCCTGTCGGGCAGTTCAGCTGGCCAGGGTTTGGGATGGGGGGAAGAGTGACAGGAAGCCAAACTGTCCAGAGACAGAAGTGGTTGACTTGGTAGGTAGTGAGTTCTCCATCCCTGGAGGTATACAAGCAGAAGTAATCATGTAACAGAGTTACTATTAGGTTATTAAGTATGAAATGTCCAATTTCCTTAAGTACTAAGTTTGACCGTTGATATCTCTGATATTCAAAAACCAAATATTTGACAAAAATGCTGATGGTGTGTGTTTGGTGGTCCAGCGCTGATATTATCCACTACAGCTTCATGAAACCTGGTCAGTCAGTTACGGCGGATGTCTACTGAACCAGTTGCACGGAATGATGAGGGTGCTTGCGATTAAGCAGCTGGGGTTGGTCAACAGAGATAGGCCAATGCTCTTGCCAAGGATCGTTTGTGCCACATGTCACACAAATAACGCTGCTCAAACTACAGAGGCTGGACTTGGAAACTCCCTGCCATCCACCATATTCACCAGACCTGGCACCAACTGACTATCGCCTCTTCCAGGCTTTGGACCACTTCTTGCAAGGGAAAATATTCAATTCTCAACAAGCTATGGAAAACGCCTGTCCTGATTTCATCACCACTCGCTCTCCAGCGTCTTCGCTGCTGGCATAAGCAAGCTACTGTTAAGATGGCAAAACCGTGTCGGCAGTTTAGGCGCATGCTTTCCTTCATGGTACTGCTTCTTGTTTCAGATATAATAAACTACACTTTTGACTCAAAGTCGGACATTTCATATTTAATGACTAATATCTTAAGGCCTCCAGCATCCAGAGGGGCAGGAGAATTGAGGTCTCCATCCTGCTCCAGGCATCCCAACTCTGATCTTGTAAAGGATGCTTCGGTAAGCTGGGGATGTTTCTGTCCATGGACCATCACTCAGTCTTTCAACAAACACCACCAAGCACCTGCCTTCAGCCCCTGGACACTCAGAGTCTCCCCTGGGGAAGACCGGGCAGGGTCAGCGAGGTGACAGAGAAAAGTGCTGTGGGAGCCAGAGCAGGGAGTAGGGACTGTGCTGGGGGGAGCCGGGTCAGGAAAGCTGCCCAGGGGAGTCTCAAAGGACAGGTGGGGGGGTGACCGGCAGGGAAGGGGCGAGGGAGGTGGGTGGGTGCTCTGGGACGGACTATACGGGGCAGGGAGAGGGCCGGGAGAGCAGGCGGTAGGCTTTTGCCTTGGGCCGGCTAACAGCCTCTCTCCTGTTCCTGCAGGAGCCCAAGGCTGGCTGCCGTCCCCACTTACGAGGAGGCCACGCACTGCCCCCTGACGGAGGAACTCCTGCCGCCACCTGCATGCCCCACGGAGGAAGGCCCGGAGCGCGGTGCCTGGGGGGACGCCCTGCTGGGGACCCAGCCCCCCTGGCCCCCACCCAGCTACGAGAGCATCGCTCTTGCTCTCGGCGCCCGTGCTGGGGAGACGGCGCCTGGCGCTGCGTTCTCCCGCTCAGACCCTTCTGGGCCGCAGCGGGGGAAAGGTGAGGGCTCCTGGCAAGCCCGGAAGTGAGAGAGGGACGCGATGAGCCTCTTCCAGAGTCTCGTACAGGGCCTGGCACACAGGAGCACTCAGCAAATGTTTGTTGCCGAACGCCGTTTTATTTATCCATTGCTGTGTAACAAACCAGCCCAAAATGTAGCGGTCTAAAACAAATCCCATTTGATTATGTCTCATGGCTCTGTGGGTTGCCAGGACCCAGCTGGGTGGTGGTTCTGCCCCACCTGATGTTGGCGAGACTGCAGTCGTCGGGGGCGTGACCGGGCCAGAACACCCACGATGGCACACTCACATGGCTGGCCGCCGGTGCTGGCTGCCAGCCGGGAGATTGTGTGTAGGTGAGGAAATTGGGGCCCAGAGGCAGAGGCAGGACGGACTCAAGTTCACACATGGAGTTTTATAACCAAAACAACGTGGACTCTGAATTCAGACCACCTGGGCACGGGTTCCACCATGCACCATCTTAGTGACCGTGGACAAGTGGCTTTCCCTCTCTTTAACTCAGTTTCCTCATCTGTAAAATGGGAATTGGGGACTACAGGGACACCAGCACCTCCCTCAGAGAGCTGAGTTGTGAGGACTGACTCTGATGATAGCAGTTGACATTGTGCGTTGACTGCTCCCTGCAGGCTCAGTGCTCATGCATCGAATAAGAAAAGCAGGGTTCTTAGCTCTGCGCCAGGCGCCTAGTAGGTATGCAGTGATCGTCAGGCAACCCTCCTCCACCAAGTGCAAATTTGGCCTCTGCTCCCATACCTCCTGTGACAGGGAGCTTCCTACCTCCCCTTTCCAGATGTGGCAGAAATGTCTGCTTTCTGTCCAGCTCTACTCTACACCTCTACACCTCCATCTCTCCCTGTTTCAGAAGACAGAACCAGCTCCATGAGGTTAAGTAACCTTCCCAGGGTCACAGCAAGCAGGGGGTCACAGGCCTGGGCCTCAGTCAGCTGGATGAGGGTGGCACCCCCAAAACCTACTGTGTGCTGGGCCAGGCCCCCTGCCATCATCTCAAAGCCACTCTGCACCAGGTGGTGGTGTCCCCACTTACCAGGTGGGGAAACGGCCTGGGGGAGGTACAATTCTAGAAAATGAAGTCAGAGCAGTGTGGGATCCTCCCAGCCGGGCCTGCAGTAGCCGCCCACTCCCTGCTCCTCCCTGAGGCCCCCGAAGTCTCTTCTCAGCCCAGCAGCCAGCGTGAGCCTGCCCATACCCAGGTCAGATCCCGCCAACCCTGGGCCACGTCCTGTGGGGCCCCCAGCTCTCTGGAATCGTGAAAGCCCTTGCACTGGCTGGGGTGGGCTCCACGGTTTGCCCCGCCCAACACTCCCATCTACTACTCCCCCTGCCTTGCTCTCCCCTCTGGCCCGTCTCACTGGGGCCTCTGCACTGGCTGTCCCCTCCTCACCAACCTGTGGGCTGGACACACACAGCCACACATGGATTTATCAGATGGTGCAATTCCTGACGGGTTAATGGTGGGACCCTCTAGGTGCGAATGCTCAAGGTGAGGCATTTCCTTCTGGGGAGGTGGGCTGACGAGTGGCAGATGTGGGCAGGGACAGGCGCTGAAGGGGTGGGATGAGGAGGATGGCAAGACCAGAAAGACCTTTTCTCTCTAATCAACTCGTCTGTGTCCTAACCAAAAGCCCTCAGGAGAGTCAGTGACTGGCTCAAGGTCACCTGCACCTTGGAGGAGGCCAAGTCAGGACCACGGAGGGAGGCGGTCTCCTGACCAAGGCTAGTTGCTGTCCCCTTCCAAGCTGCAGGGCCCCCGCTGTGTACTGGGGCTCCTTGTGCCCACTGGCAGGTGCCTGACCAGGGAGTGGCACGCAGGCCAGCACTGTCCCTCTGCAGCCCCCGGGAGGCACTGCTTTGCTCCCTGGGCTCTTTCCTCCCGGGCCCAGATGTCCAGGTTCTTCACCCGCTATTTACGCATCTCGTGCCACTGCCGGTGTCTCAGGTGTCAGGAACCCTCGGAGCTCAGGCCTCTCCCACACTTTCCCCGGGCCCTCCCGGCCTCTGTGCCGTCTGGGTGGCTGTCCACCTTGGGTCAGCCCATCCCCTCAGGAATCTCACCTGCTCCTCCCTTAGCTGCTAATTACTGCTCAGCTAAATCTTTCTCTCCCTAATTAAAAAATTAAAGTCTGATTTGCACCCCTCCCTTGCACACCCTCAGTAGACGCTCCCTGCGGGAGGCTTCATGCCGGTACTGCCCTCCCCTGGCACCTGCAATGCCACCCCCATTCTCACACGTGTATTAATGCCACCCCCCATTCTCACACATGTATTAATGCACCCCCAATTCTCCACACGTGTATTAGTGCCACCCCCATTCTCACACATGTATTAATGCCAGCCCCCATTCTCACACATGTATTAATGCCACCCATTCTCACACGTGTATTAGTGCCACCCCCATTCTCACACATGTATTATGCCAGCCCCCAGTTCTCACAACACTTATTAATGCCACCCCCCATTCTCACACATGTATAATGCAGCCCCCATTCTCACACATGTATTAATGCACCCCATTCCACACGTGTATTAGTGCACCCCCATTCTCACACATGTATTAATGCAGCCCCCATTCTCACACACGTATTAATGCCAGCCCCCCATTCACACACATGTATTAATGCCAGCCCCCATTCTCACACACATATTAGTGCCACCCCCATTCTCACACATGTATTAATGCCAGCCCCATTCTCACACACGTATTAATCCCACCCCCCATTTCTCACACACATATTAATGCCACCCCCCATTCTCACACACGTATTAGTGCCACCCCCATTCTCACACATGTATTAATGCCACCCATTCTCACACACGTATTAATGCCACCCCCCATTCACACACATGTATTTTTTTTTAGTACAGTGAACTTTATTGATGGTACATGACAAGGTGGGGCTCCCTAGGCCCCTCCCATTCTTCAGGGGCTCTGGCAGGAAACTGCGTCGTGAGGAGGGGAAATTCTCAGTGAGGTGGCGACTGAGTAGGCAGGGACACCCCAGCAGCTGAGGCCTCTCTCTTCCTTGGTGCTCTGGCTGGGGCTGATGGTCCGGGACTTTTACTCCTTGGTGGCCATGTGGGCCATGAGGTCCACTACCTGTTGCTGTAGCCAACTTCATGTCGTACCAGGCAACGAGCTTTACAAAGTGGTCGTTGAAGGCGATGCCAGCCCCAGCATCAAGGTGGAAGAGTGGGTGTCGCTGTTGAAGTCGGAGGACACAACTGTGCCTCAGTGTAGCCCAGGATGCCCTTGAGGGGGCCATCCGCCGCTGCTTCACCACCTTCTTGATTCATCATACTTGGCCGGCTTCTCCAGATGGCAGGTCAGGTCCACCACGGACACGTAGGCAGTGGGCACGGCAGAAGGCCATGCTAGTGAGCTTCCCGTTCAGCTCGGGGATGACCTTGCCACACAGCCTTGGCTGTGCCAGTGGAGCAGGGATGATGTTCTGGAGAGCCCCACGGCCATCCACGCCACATCTTCCCAGAGGGGCCATCCATGGTCTTCGGAGGTGGCGGTGACGGCATGGACTGTGGTCATGAGTCCCTCCACGATGCCAACGTTGTCATGGATGACCTTGGCCGGGGGGCTAAGCAGTTGGTGGTGCAGGAGGCACTGCTGACAATGGTGAGGTTTGTTTGGTATTGTCGTGGTTCACGCCCATCACAAACATGGGGGCGTCAGCAGAGGGGGCAGAGATGATGACCCTTGGCACCCCATCTAGGTGAGCCCCAGCCTTCTCCAGGGGTAGTGAAGACGCCAGTGGACTCCACGACGAAATCAGCGCCCGCTTCACCCATTTGATTTTGGTGGGATCTGCTCCTGGAAGATGGTTAGGGCTGGCCATTGATGACAAGCTTCCGTTCTCCGCCTTGACTGTGCCATGGAACTTGCCGTGGGTGGAGTCACACTGGAACATGTAGACCATGTAGTTGAGGTCAATGAAGGGGTCGTTGATGGCGACCATATCCACTTTGCCAGAGTTAAAAGCAGCCCTGGTGACCAGGCGCCCAATACGGCCAAAGCCGTTTATTCCGGCCTTCACTTTCACCATGGTGTCCGGGAGACGGTGCTGGCGCTGCCTGAGAAGATGCGGCTATCTGTCGAACGGGAGGACCAGAGAGCCCACACACATGTATTAATGCCACCCCCCATTCACACACATTATTAATGCCACCCCCCATTCACAAACATGTATGCAGAGCCCACCCTGTTCTGGCCCCTAGGATAGAGCAGCGAACAGAATAGAGTCCCCACCCTGCAGAGGCTTGCGTGCTAATTAGACAGACGCGAGTCAAGAAGAACAGATAACGTGTGCAGTATGGTAGATGGTGATGAGTGCTGTGGAGAAAAAGAAACTGGGACAGGAAGACGGGGAGCCCCTGGGGGAGGAGGTTGTATAGTATTAGGGCTGGGTCGGGGGCGACCTCCCCCCAGAAGCTGCCATTGGGGCAAAGGCTTGAAGGAGGCGAGGGAGGGAGCCATGCAGGCATCTGGAGGGAGAGCGCTCCAGGCAGAAGGAGCAGCAGGTGCCAAGGCCCTGGGTGCCTGTGTGCTCCTGGAGCAGCCTGGGGCCAGGGCGGCTGGAGTGAGTGAGTGAGAGGAGGAGGGGTGAGGGGCAGGCAGCATGGCAAATTATCTAGGGCCTTGCAGGTCACCTCAAAGCCTTTGGCTTTACTCTGATGAGACAGGGAGCCACGCCAGGCTTCTGTGCACAGGAGTGGCATGATCTCACCTGGGACCGGGATTGCAAAGAGACTTCAGGGGTCGAGGATGGAAGCGGAGAGCACTTGGGCGAGGGATGCTGGGGCCTCAGACCGGTGATGAGGAGCGTTGGATTCTAACATCCTAGAGGGCGGGCCTGCAGGATGTGGTGCGAGAGGGGAGGGGGACGGCGGCTTGGATAACTGATAACTGCCTGGGAGGGAGGGGTGGAGGCGGAAGGGCCGGTCTGGGGAGGAGCATGCAACACGGACCAGCCGGTGCACAGCATTTGGAGCGTCACCTGCAGCCAGTGCGGCGGGCACTCTTGCACCGGCCTTGCCTGGAATGCTCTTCCTGCCTATCAGGACCCCAGCTGCCTTCTCCGGGATCATGCCTCCGCCCCCCTCCCCCGGCC